TGAAACTAATAATTCTGTACCTCTGTTTTCTTCCTCACCTCCAAAATTTTCATGAAGTAATATTGTTGAAGCAGAAAATTTTATTTTTAATTTAAAAATTTCAAGCGAGCCATAATCAGCGCTGAATCTACTGAGCCAAGGGTCAAGATGACTTTGGTACAACTGCCTCCTAGGAATCATATAAAAGTCAGAGATGGCCCGAAATGACATGTGGAAAACTGTGTGTGATGAGGGACAAAAAGGTTCATCTTACTGTGGCAGTTGAAGTGAGAAGGTCAAGTCATGTCCCCTTAGTTCTCTACTTTCCATTTTTAAAACCGTGAGAATTTATATTTCCTGCTTTCATCAGAAGAGCTACAGCAAGCCCATCTGACCTTTTTTGGAGCTGTGAGGGTAATGCACTTTGATAGCTGCAGCGGTGTAAGTTCCGCAGGCTGCTGTAGGAACAGCCCTCTTAAGGTTAGTCTGGTAAAAGTATAATCAGGGTTATGCATGATGTGCTCTAAGATCTAATACACATCGATGCAGGAGGAACTTTCAGTTTGACTTTTGCATTAGGAATATTTGATAAAAAAATGAAAAGATGCAGAAGGGGTCTTTTTTGCTAAATTGGGCCTTCTGTAAGCTCCAACAACTTTTGGGATTGCTTCTTTTTCCCCAACCCAGTCTTGTATGTCTCAGCACCACTGAATGAATTTTCTGGTCTAATGTTGTTTTAATCAACACTGTTGATGGATCCAGCTCCAGGCTCACTTCTCCTTGTGTAGTGGGACACACAGATGTTCTCCTTGGTTCTGTAAGATTAGGTGGGACCGCAGTAGATCCTATTGCACATACTTAAGCAAAATGAATTGACATGTGCTTTTTGACAGTGTTTATGACGTCTATGATTTTTATCATGATTGTGGTTTTTTTAAAACTCCAGCATCTTGGACTTATGTGAGATCTTTAACTTCTATAGAACAGAAAACTTTTTTAGCTAATGAGGCTGCAGAGACATGTAAACATGAATTCCAAAAGCTACAGCATGAAACAAATAAAAAGACTATAAAATTTCATTATTTATGGGAGATCGTAATGCAAGATTTTTGAATCGTTAGGAGTTGGGAATACTGTTTCTCCTTTTTAAATGTCTTTTTCAGTCTTTACACTATTTAATTTTATCTTGTGCCTCTTCCTTTCTCTAAATTTGTTTATTATTCATTTCAGTACTTCTCTTCCTTTCTCTGCTTTTTTTTTCTGTACGTGCTTTTAATGTTTTCTTCTGAAATTTATTTCTGTCGTCTTTCTGTCTCGTTAATCCCTTCCCTCTCTTCCTCCTCCTCTTTGATGTTTGTGCTGTGGTCTTCATCCATTTCCCAACAGACTTCTCTTAGCTCTCATTGCATGATAAAGCAGTGGGCCAATTAGCCCCCGAACAAGGTTTTCCCTCCATTCCTTGTGCAGATCCGGGGCGCAGAGGCAGCTAGTGCTTTAGAGACTGGATGTTTCCATTTGCTGCTGCGCTCCGAGCTAATGGAGCAGTGCAGCCCGGAGAAGGACTATAACATAAAAAGCCTACGGGTGCTGTGCTGCTGCCCTGCTTCCAGGACGTCTTCAGGCTAATGCTTGGGGTTTCATTTGTGTAACTCACTCTGCTCCTCGTATTGAAGCTTTATCCCCTCATGAGACTGCTCTTCAGAGAGTATTTCAAAAACCTGCCCTATAAAAAGCCCAATGACTCAATCATTAATATAAGTAAGTCAGAAAGGCTGCTCCCGAGGTTGAGCGAGATGAGGTTTGTGAAGGGGACCTAGGGGGTGGTCCCCTCGCTACAGGGGCTTGCATGGGCTCAGAGAGACCAAATCGTTCAGGGCTTCATCCTTCCTGACAGTGTGAGCGCTTCGGCTCCCATCCAAGATCGCATTTAATTTCTACATGCATACTCTCAAAATGAAGCCTCTGTGTTTGTATTCAGTGTAAGCACTTTTTCAGTCACAGCTGGAAGCAAAGGCATAGGGCTAATGGCTCAAAGTTTCTTATTTCAAATGTTATTTCAAGGGTGCACCGCTGTATGATTTTGGGCAAGACATTTCTCTCCTGATTTCTCTCCACACACTTACTGACTGTAGCTGGGTGATGAGGATTAAAGCAATTAATGTTTGTACAGCATTTTGAATGTTAAAAGCGGTTACATAACTAAGTGTTGCTATTTGGAGGTGTGCTGCAGTGCGGCACATCTCAGTGCGAGCAGTGGGGATGTCAGGAGGGCACTAAAACCCAGAAGCCATGGGGCACGGGGCTGGCTGCATAGCCCTGTCAAAGGGCCTTGCTGTTGTTGAGTCACTGTCTGGGGGAAAGCGTGCCCTTTAGCTTGCTCTGCTGATGCGTTAATTTAGTGAATCAGCTGGTGTGACACCAATGTGGAGGTACAGAGTCCCTCTAAAGTGGGAGAATATTCCATAGAGAGGGTCATACTGTTTCTATACATTGAGTACCAGTACGATGTGATTTATTTTTTAATGCATTTATAAAAGCAAGGTTTGCAGATGAATTCATCTGGCGGTCAGGTAATTCTGTAACCATGACCTATGGACTATATGATTATTACGAGTTTATGAGTTTACGAATTTACATTTATCAAAAGAAATTTTCTGTTTCTCATGGGGTTTTTTGCAATTTTTATTTAGCACTGGAGACAAATCTATACAAGGTCAATTAAAACACAACTTTTTAATCATTGCACTTCAAGGGCAACAGTAGAAAAATCAAATAAAACCCAAATGGTAAATACCTGATAAGAAAGCTGCTTTCTGTTGATGAGCTCCAGAGTCTTTCTGGTGGGCTTGTGTTAGCTTATAACGTGTCTGGAGTAATCAGGATCTACGGGAAGGAGTGACTATGGTACTGCTGCAGAAGTTGTAGTTCATCTTGGCATGCTGCAGTTTGTACAAAAAGGGCCTGTGTTTTGTGGCTTTTCTCTGGACATTAAAATCGGTAACTAGCAGAACATGGTAGCCCACATTATAATGCAGCTGATAAAGCATCAGTAGCAAAGTAGGCATCTTGCCAAACCTGCTTCCACCAGCTCTGTGTTCATCTGGGAGGGAGACCTGATGGCACAGAGCTTGAATAACTTCCTAAATTTTCCTGTCTTTAAAATTAGTGAGAATGAACAGTATGGTTAAATCCCTGAAAACATAATCAAGGCTATGTAGTCTGATGGCAAGTGTTAAACAGGAATGTTGTTATTGGCTTGGTTATTTGGTTTAGCATATATGTGATAGCCCAAGGGACTTCCTGGGTGGAGAACACAGAGATGCTCCAAGGTCAGCAGGCTTACCATTGTTTCAGATCAGAGATTCCTGTGAAAGTTTTATGAAGTTTTCAAAATCAGCATCACATTAGGAAGTTTCACTGGAGGAGTTGCATGTAGTAGCTAAGGAGATTGCAGAGAAGGAAAAGAACAGGAAAGGAAAATCCCTTGGTTCATTGCTATTAAGGCTCCGACTTAAGCTGGCAGTCCTGCATCTCCCTGCTGCTAAAGGAAATCGCAGAACATTTTCTGGTGAGCTGTTCACAGGGATAAGGTGAAGGCTGCTGTATGCAACCATCTCCTTTTTTTTTTTTTTCTCACCACATCAGTCATTTCTCTGCACACAGACTTTGGTTTTGGTTGCTGTCCCTATAGTTGTGACCTTTATCAGACCAGTTCGTTCATTAAGATTGCTTCCTTGAACTAGTTTAACTTCCAGAATAGTTTAGAGGAGCCCATAAAAGCTGAGTCAAGATTTGAAGATCTTTGTTTTTATTAATCTGGTTTTTTGAACATTTTCTGCATTGAATGCCATATCCTTTTTACTTTTAATTTGAGAAATGTTGCAATGTGACAAACACAAGAAAACTGGTCATAGTTATGTTTGAACAATACAGTGGATTTTTCATTTAATTATCTTCTGCCTGTAGCTTTAGCCCTCTTGACCTCTGCATTAACTACACCATATATTTTGTTTGATAATATGTTCCTTAAGGCAGGGAACTTGCTTGTCAGGTTTATAAATCAGCAATTGCATGGGATGCATACTGTAAATAATACTCGGAGAGAAGCTGCATACAGGAAACTTGGGTAAATACATCCAGCAGTTCGTGTTCACTGTGTCCATGGATTCCTTCTGTTTTGCCCTTCATTAGATTTTTAACAACATAATTAAGCAATCAGCTGGATCATGTCTATACTCATAATCTTAGACTCTGAGGTCATGTCAGCCTGACACTAGCAGAAGCAGCTCAACAGAAGGGAGCCTAATACCTTCTGCTTTGCCAAAACCAAATCATTTCCCTGCTTGGCTTTTATGAGAGGTTAGAGAGCTCACAGGAGAAATAAACAGCTGAAACATGCTGTTAGGGATAATGGTTGAATTCTTTCTCTGCTAAGTCGTATACACTTGATTTTTGTGGTTTTGCTGTAGTTCCTGGTGACTTCCAGTAAGAGTCCTAATAGTTTAGCAGACAGTAATCAGGCTCCAAGTTTATTATCTTGTAGAGTCGCTTGCCTCCTTGCAGAAAAACAGCTGTCCTTTCTGTAGGGAGGGCTGGAGAGGCTGGGAATGATCTCAGCTCTAAGGTTTTTTTTGATGGCTGCTTGCATTGACAAAAACACCTGTGTTCCAGCTCTGCTTCAGTAGTCTCTTGTCTTCATACTTTATTTTGCTTATCTCCTTTTCCCTGCCACTTTCACTCGAATAGGGTATATTTCATTTTGAGTCCAGAGCTGCTGTGTGCTGTTTCTGTGCTGCTGTGCACTGCCCAAAGGCGGGCGCCTGGCAGAGGAGGGGGGTGTTGAACCCTCTGGGACATCCTGAACTCACCCATCTGCCTGTTTGCAAAGCACCTTGAGAAACGTGGATGAAAGCAGCTGCTGTTATATTTCATTCTCCTACTCCCTTGAGGATCTGGTAATCGCATATTTGTTTTTATTCCCTTTTGATTTATGTTCCCTTTTGTTGCTGTGTTTCTGACAGATCCTCCTGACTGGGTTCCAGATGAAGTCTGCAGCTACTGCACTGCGTGCAAGGCTCCTTTCACTGTCATTCGCAGGAAACACCACTGTCGGAGCTGTGGCAAGGTAATGACTCAGTCAAATGTGAGAAACTATCTGCCAAAGAGAACAGCAAAATTACGTGCACCAGAGAAACTCAAGCTGCATAGCAAAATGCCTGCGCTTGGCCAGGGTTTTCAAGTCACAAATGGTTTTGTATGTCTTGGCTATGTTTAGAAAGCCGGGGGGGGACGGTTTTGACTTTTACACAGCAGTAAGCATTTGTTTTCTGAAAAGCAGAACTCCCTGTTGAGATCCTGGAACAAAAAATCCAGAGTCACTCTAGACAATTGCTCTGAGCTTTACTGAGCCACAGCAGCCTGCACTGCGAGGGACAGTGCACAGCTCAGCGGCAGGGTTGGTGTGTCCCTTTGGTTTCCTTCTAAAGCTTTGCAGGAGGAATGCAGTGTGCAGCGCTGCTGCTTTGCAGGTTTGTGGGTGAGGAAGAGGGAGTGAGGGAGAATAAAGCAGGTGTGTGCCTCGGGAAGCCAGAGATCTGCAATCTCATTTTGCTTGCTTGCTCCCTGGTGTACAAGTTAAAAAGGAAGAGGGTAAAGAAGCTGTTTCTCTTAACTTTATAGTGGACTTGCAGAAGTAGGAACTTTGGAGATATTCACAAATGTTCCCCTAGGCTTTATTTAAAACCAATGGAGAGAGATGCTTCTTTTCGTCTGTGGTGGGGCTGCCTTCCCCTGGGACCTGCAGAGGTACAAGCCTGCCTTGGCTAGTGTCCGTGCTTGGGGACCTGCATCAGAGAGGCTGAGCACTCAGATTAATTAGCCATCAGGCTGTGAACTGTCTGCAGAGGACTTCCCTTGCTATGCTGAAGAGGATGGTGTCGCCAATACACAAGAGCCCAGCCCGTAGAATCTCTCCCCTCTTTTGACATCAATCTTGTCCCATCCAGTTCTTCAAAGAACTGAAGTGTGATCTCCCTCTTGTTTTTCAGATCTTCTGTTCCCGCTGTTCCTCCCACTCTGCTCCATTACCTCGTTATGGTCAGATGAAGCCTGTCCGTGTTTGCACTCACTGTTACATGTTCCATGTCACTCCTTTCTATAGTGACAAAGCTGGTATCTGACATTAAACTTCTGGTGTGTCTTCTGGAGTCTTACATGGACTGATATATTTGACCTAAGCCAAGAATTCACTTGAAAGAGGGGACCCCGTGAGGGCATGTAGGCCTTGACATCCATTATTATACATTTTGTACAGACAGTTTTTATTGCATTTTACTAAGCTGCTAAAGGGAAGTATGAAGCGTCTGTAGCTCTTAAGGCTACAGTACAGTCTTCCATAAATTTCTGACATTAATGTTACGATGCCATATGCAGAACAAATGCACTGTGTGGAAGGAAATAGAGCTCAGAGAACTGAACAAGTGTTGCTGCTGTCTTACATCCTAGGAACAGAGTAGCCAGTTAACCAGTCCATCCCAGCAAATCAGTCCCAAAGCTCGGACACTTCTGTGCTCACTAAAATACCAGCATGGCTGTGGATGTCAGTGTTCTCCCTCCTGCTGTGGTTTAACTTTACCATTATAAATTTTTGCTACCTATGCTAGGATTAATTAAAACAAAACTATTTCAAATCCATATTCAACATTTACAAAGGCACAATTTTCTTTGAATTGCATAGGAAACACTGAAGGTCTTGAAGTGGTATATTTCTGTTGCCTTTCATTTACCAAGCAGAGCAATAACTCCAATTTGTCTTCTAAAAATTAAGTTTTACAACTTCCAGTTCCATATTTTGGAGTTTTGGAAGTATTTATAATCTGCATCATTTACACTAGATCCTGTTAATAAAAGTATAACCCAGAGCTTTGGTTTCTATCTCAGCATTTAAACATAACAAACTTGAGAGGAGATTGTTACTAAATGAATATGAAAATCCGTATTTTTGAAAGAGCTTAGCAGCAAAATTCAGTGGATGTGACAAATTATTGCCCCCATACTGAGTTTTTTTAAATGGTTTTTTGAAAGGCAAGTATGTAGTGATACATTCAAAAGGTCCTATGGTACAGTCAGCCAGAGAAGGGCACTTGTTGTCCACATGTGGCAGAGTAACTGCGTATAATATTGCATACTGTTACTTCACTCATGCTAACAGCTCAGAAGATGTTTGTATTTATCTGAAACACCAAGGATTAATTTTCTCTCCACTTGGAGAGGAAAGAAATAAGACTCACATGGATTCATGCGATGATCTTGCACAAACTGTTTGCAGTAAGAGCTCCCCGAGCGCTGAGGTTTCAAAGGCGTTTGGACACACTTTGAGTTAGCCACGTGAAAAGCAAGACAGTGTGCTGTGGTTACAGAGGAAACGAGATCAGGAGCTCTGTGCTGCGTCCCCTTTCCTGACTTTGTGTTACACACTGTGTTTCAAAGTGATAAATACAAAAAAGGGTGAGGAAGTTCTTCACAGTATCATGCTTAAGAGAGGTCATAATTCAAAATGATAAAGCAAAACTGGCCAGTGTTGATTTTTTTTTAATTTATTTTTGGGGGGACATTCCCTTTGTTAAGTGGTTTAATATTCAGTGTTAATGAGCCATATAAGGGTACAGAAGTTTGGCACTACTGTTGTTTTGAATCAGATGAAACAGCTTCACTTAGTTTATGTGTAATGCACAAGCCTTATGATGCTGCCTGTAGACAATGTCAGCTATGATGTGTTATCCTCACCTTATTTATATTTTTATTATTATTATTATTTCCCTGAATTCCTTCCCATGGAATCTTTTGAGTTGGAGTGTTGGCATTCACCAGAGTTTGGAAAAGCATGGGGTGGGCGTTTGGTGGGAGGTGGGTGATGTGGTGCGAGCAATGATACTTATTCAGGCTTAAATCTCAGGCTTCACATTGCAATGATTATTGCAGTTTTATTTTTAGAAAAAAAAACCACAAATTTAATGCTTCTTTTATAGGATTAAAAAATACAACAAACTTCAATTGTGAAATAAATATGCACAAAAAGTTGCTTCTGTGAAAAAAAAATCTTATTTAATGGACTGAATATTTATTCAAGCTTGTTTTTATTTTGTAAATGCTGTAATTCAGAATCATTTCCATAAATATGATATTTAAAGATCTCAAACACTATAGTTTCTTATGTAAATACAGACTCCTATTTCTCTTACTGAAAAGCACAATGACTATATCAATACTAATATACATTTGCCTCAAGGAAGACTCTCATCTTGTAATCTCTTCAGATAATTAAAGTGTCAGGACTTTCTACTTCCATGTGCTGGATTGCTCTTTCATTTTGGGGTCCGTTTACATGGAGTGACAGCTGCCATCCTGTCAAACAAACTGGCCTTAAGTCTTTCTCACTTTCACAAATAAGATGGAAGAAATGAGTTTAAATTTGCCAGTGGAAGTCGCCTGTACGGAGAAGGGGTGGTAAGTCAAAGCTGGAGCACTGGCCTGTCACTCAACATTGCCTTGTGCTATCCCTTGCTACTGGCTGAAAATCTCCCTGCTCAAAATATCTTGTGTCAGTGGCCACTTCACGCTGTGTCAAATCTGAGTTATCTTTTCTGGGGGGGACACAAATCTGCAATGAAAGTAGCGCTCCTTGGATCTGCCTGCACAGTGATTCTGATGAAGCATAAATGCCTGGTGCTGATTTGTTCTGCCCCTTGTATGAGATGTAACTTGTAAATTTTATGAGAACTAATTTTATTTACCCAAGGACTTAATGCATGACTTTGGGATGCCACTTCACTGAAGAAAAACCACATTACAGCTCAGTGACATTAGGATCTCAGTTTCAGTGGTGCAACAACAGGAAAAAATTACGGAAAGTCTGCACACAAGTTTAAGATTGCATTTGAATTAACAGATGTAATATTTATGGGCAAATGATGCTGCCTTTAGGTGTGTATAAATAAATGAACAGTAGAAATTTATACTAACAGGACTTTGTATATGAAGTTTACATCGCTTCAGGGTTCTGGGAGAAGAAGGGGCTCTCTCTCCTCCAAACCACAACAATGTGTTCCACAGCAGTTTTCCTATTGCAGATACTGCAATGGTTCACGGGATAATAAGGTAAGAGCTGCATTGCTGAGGGTGGCAGTAATTCACCTGGTGTTGGACTGTCCTGTGTGACAGGTTCCCTCTGAATCAAGGCTGTTTTCAGAAAAGAAAAAAAAAAATCACAGTAAGCGCTGAAGTGATCCTTTCTAGATCTGTATGAATCCTGCAGCATTTCCTGCTCTCTCCAGGTTTGTAAAGGGAGGTTGGGATATCAGGGCTCCCTCTGCAATGAAAGGAACTTCTATTAAAAAAAAAAAGAAATCTTCCAGAGAATACTCCTGTCCAGATAACTCAAAAATACTTAAAAGTGGCCAGACAGCATCTCAGTCAGGAGGACACAGGCAGAAGTGATCAGGAGAGGAAAATGACCTTTGTGAGTGTATTGTCTAACCTGGGAGGAAGGAGGAGGGAAAGGGGGTGCATGTGTGTGTCCGTGCCTGTACATGGTGGGGGGACATGAAGGTAGGCTGTGGAAGTGGTGGAAGTAGATTTGACTGCAGGAAAGGTTCAAATATAGCTCCATGACAATCCTGCCTGGGAGCTGGAGGAAACCACCAGCATTTGCAGTGTCTCGTCCCCAGCTGAACTCGCTGTCAGTTTATGCCAAGTCAAAGCTGCTGGGTCTGCATCCTCTGGTTTCCATGGCAACCCCCGATAGCATCTCTCAAGCGAGTGCCAAGACTGCAGCACTCTGCTCCACACCGGCAGGCACGGAGGCTCCTGCTTTCTGCTTCGTCAGAGGGATTGCAATTGCTCAAATGTCTTTATTTGTAACAAAGATTTACGCTGCAGTCAGATGCTTACTGTGAACTCTGTTTTTCTGATGACAGTATTTTACTGTATTATGCTTTATTTATGTTTCTTGTCTGGAGAAATCTCTTCTCTACGCATGCATTTGAGTACTTTTGAGGGTCCTTCAGCTATTTTCTGTTCCTCTCTTTCTGTCTTTACCCGACCCCATCACCCAGTTTTCAGTTTCTGCTGTGTGCAAACCAGATGTCATATGTAGCCTCCTTAACTATCTTACAGATAGTGAAGTATCAGAGGCAAGATTAGACAGTTCGAGGAGCTTTCACCCCTATTGCTTCCTGATCTAGCCTTCCAGGCTCATTTCAAACCCTCATTTGGTGTCCTTGTACCTCCAAGAGCATCCTACCGCGCAGGTCCTTCCCGGCTGCCTGAGCTGCCATGGGTTTTGCACCATGGTGTTTCAAGTCCTGCAGCGTTCCTTTACTTTTTGGAAGAAAGGATGGATCCTAAATCCTAGGTTTTAATAGCTGTTAGTAAATTATAGGTATTACAGGGACTCTGATTTGTTTCATTTGGCTCTCTTTGCTTTGGTCTTGAACCAAAAAATGGCAAAATATTAGGCCAGCAGAATGAAGAGAAGACTTGTTATAGCAAATGTGGAAGCGTGAAGATGATGTTTTAATGAAATAATTAGTCTCTTTGAAAACAAGCCATGACTGCATGCGCTGGGAATGCTGGGGCTCATGCATAAAACAAACTGGGCAATTAGTCTTTCATGAACTCATTTCATTTCTTGTTTTCATTAAACATGAAGACTCTGAAGTGTAGAGTATGATTTTTCCCTCATCTTTCACTCAAAGCTATGAAGCTGATTTGTCCTCTGTTTGGTTTTTTCTCTGCAAACAACCACCAGCCTGTTAGGGCTCTGACTGAGCTTGTCTGCAAAAGAGAAAATTCTTCTACCTCCAAAGCGATGGAACCAACAGCGGGGCCTCCAGGCCGCCTGCCCACGGCTTCGCACGCTCCGAGCAGCAGGGAGGGTGGCTGGGCGCGCCCCTGGGCACGAGGCAGCTGTACCAGGGCTATCGCTTGTGTCCAGCTCTGAGCGATGCTGCCATCTGCTCGTTCTCGTGAGCATGAGATGTCTGACACAGCCCGGGATGCGAGGGACCGCTGTGCCTGGAAAGGCAGAGCCAGCCAGTGTTTAGCTGTAACTACCTCAGATATTACAGGGATTTTATTCTCTGAAAATAACCCCGTGCCAGGCACTCATAGCACTTAAGCAAGCAGTAAACTCCTGTCTTGCTCTAGAAAGCTTTGTTTGTGTATTTTTGCAGTTTTATATAGTTCTTCACAGTCCAATAAGATGCTGTTACTGCCATGACTTTTTTTTTTATTTGCTGAGTTAATAATAAAAAAGAAATAAAACAGCAGCAGGGAGGGTGTTTGAGGGGAGTGCTTTCTCGGTAATATTTCGGCAGTGGCCAGCCTTCTGGTTTTTAGCTGCAATTAGTCTGTGGAACTGAAGGGCTTGTTAGTGTGGGGGGAGATGCTGAGAAGAAATAGTCCTCAATAGCATTTGTGCTGGAAACTTCTTGCTGATTACGTCCTGTAAAACATGCTGGAAATATCCATCTTTCTTAAAAGGTGTGTCTGAAAATGATGCTGAAGTTCCTCAGCCTTTTTGGGCAGTTTGGAGAAAGTTGTCCCCTATCCTTTGGAGGCTGGGACGGTGGCTCCACCTAGGGCTGTCCCAGACAGAGACCAGGAGAACTCGCACATCAGGAACATTGAGAGCATTTATTAGGAATGGGCTTGTACCATGCCATCTTCCTTTGTGTTTGGGGAGCCTCCAAGATCAAATTTTGAGGCACTCGCTAGATAATTATTTTTTCTGGCCAAGACTATTTGTGAATGTTGCTTCATTAGCAGCTTTTATGTTGATTTTGCAGCACTGAAGCCTGATGCTTTGGGGTCGGGTTC